ATATTTAAGGAGAGGTTTTACCAGTGTCGCCCCATTGACTTTCCGTGCTGAAAAATCAGGTCTCCTGCATTCTAATCTGATGCACTGAATTTCATGTTATGTAGAAAAGAAGACACAGTGAAAATTACAAGCATCTGAAAACAAACATCATACTCTCCAAGTGCATTTTTCATAACAATGTATCACCTAGTCTGTTTCTAGATTCTACCTAACTCATAATTTTGAGGTATTTTTGGAGCTTCCTGCTGAGCTGAGTATGAAGATTCATGAAGGATATAAGTTTCCAGTATGGTGTGTGCCACTATTTCAGTTTAATGTGAATGACTATGGGACGGACACACACACACACACACACACACACACACGCACACACACACGCACACACACACACACACACACACACACACGGACACGCACACACACACGCACACACAGACACACACACGCACACACACACACACACACACACACACACGGACACGGACACGGACACGGACACGGACACACACACCCCTCCATACCATTCATACTTAATGCACACATAGATGTCCCATTTACACAAACTTACTCACATTCATTTACTCTGTTCTACATATATACATGGTTATCCCTTCCAGCCTCCTCTCTCCACATATTCATTCCCCTGTGCACATGCCCTCCCCCAAGTGGAAGCATTAGTGCTACCTGCTGGGCAGGCCACTCTGTCCGTGATCAGCATCAATCAGATAAGGAATTTAGGAATTAGGTCTTCATCCTACTGTGCCATGCTTGGTGGAGAGGGTTAGATTTTAGCAGAGCACGTGGAGAATCCTAGCAGATTTGGCTTACGGGCCAGAGGTACCATATTTCAGGCAGAAATTAACAATGATTAGAACTAGGAGTTCATCCACCTGGACACCTAGATTGCAGGTTGCTGAGTGTATGACAGCTAAAGTAGAGGCACCCTGACATCCCAAAACATTGATCTGGAATTTACTACCTCAAGGTACAGTGACAGCCACTGATGGTTTTAAAAGGTACAGTGCATTGGTGGAGACTAACTTCAGTGGTGGGTGGATGTGCACTATTTCAGTTTGATTTCAGTGACCCTGAAACACATCAATGCCATCTAGTCATGGTGCCTATGCACCTCCTCCAGCATCAGCTACTGCAGCTCTGAAACTAATTTTCAGAGGACAGAGCCACTGTATGCGTGTCCTGCTTGTGGGCTTCCTATAGGTGTGTGACTTGCCACTGTGGGAAACAAGACGCAAGACTGGATAGACCTTTTCATTCAGGAGTATGTATATAGAATGATAGAATCATAGGGTAATTGAATTGAAAGGGCCATATAAGGTCATCGAGTCCAACCCCCTGCTCAAGGCAAGAATTCAAATCCAAGCAGAACTGACAAATGGTTGTCTGATTTTCTCATGAATGCCTCCAGCGTTGGAGTGCTCACCACCTCCCAAAATAATTGGTTCCATTGTCATACTGCTCTAATAGTTTTTCCTGAGATCCAGCCTAAATCTGGCTTCCGGTAGCTTGGCCTGATATCCAGCCTAAATCTGGCTTCCTGCAGCTTGGGTCCATTGTTGCATGTCCTGCACTCTGGGATGATCAAGAACTGATCCTGCGTCTCCTCTGTATGACTGCTTTCAAGTATTTGTTACGTCTCCTCTGTATGACTGCTTTCAAGTATCTGTAAACTGCCGGAGGCAGTGAAAGACAGGAGGGCCTGGCGTGCTCTGGTCCATGGGGTCATGAAGAGTTGGACATGACTAAACAAATAAACAACAACAACAATCATATCTCCAGGAGGGACATGGTGCTGCTGTGGGTTAAACTGCAGAAGCCTCTGTGCTGCAAGGTCGGAAGACCAGCAGTCGTAGGATCACATACACACAATGGAGTGAGCTCCCGTCACTTGTCCCAGCTCCTGCCAACCTAGCAGTTTGAAAACATGTAAATGCGAGTAGATAAATAGGTATCACCACGGTGGAAAGGTAACGGTGTTCCGTGTCTAGTTGCGCTGGCCACGTGACCACGGAAACTGTCTTCGGACAAACGCTGGCTCTATGGCTTGGAAACGGGGATGAGCACCTTTACCCTTATCATATCTCCCCTCAGTTCATTTCTCAAGACTAAACCTGCCCAGTTATTTTAGTCTTTCCTCATAGGGCTTGGTTTCCAATCTCCTGATTATCCATGTTACCCTTCTTTGAACTTGCTCCAGTCCTCAAAATGTGGTGTCCAGAACTGGGCACAGTACCCTAGGTGAGGCCTAACTGGTACTGAATAGAGTGGTACCTCATGGGATTTGGATACTATTGTTCTGTTAATACATGCTAAAATAGCATTTGCTTTTTTTGCAGCCACACTGCACTGTTGGCTCATAGTCAGCTTGTGATCTACGTCAGTTCCAAGATCCTTCTCACTCATAGTATTACTTAGCCAATTATCCCACATCTTGTAACTGTGCGTTTGCTTTTTCCAACTTTACACTTATTCCTTATTTTATTCTGTTGTTTTCAGCCCAGTGCTCAGTCCTATCAAGATCTTTTTGAATTTTGTTTCTGTCTTCCAGGGTATTAGCTATTCCATCCAATTTTGCATCATCTGCAAATCTGATAAGTTTTCCCTCATCCAAGTCTTTAATAAAAATGTTAAAGAGCCCAGGGCCCAGGACTAAGCCTGGGGGTACCCCACTAGTTACCTCCTCCCAGTTTGGGAAGGAGCCATTAATCATCACCCTCTGAGTACAATTCTCTAGCCAATTGTGTAGCCACCAGACAGTTGTTCTCTCCAGCCCACACTAATATATTCTGATAATCAGAATATATTGGGGCATTTTTGTCAAAGGCTTTGCTGAAGTCAAGGTGTATTATGTCTATAACAACCAGACCATCTACCAGGTAATGAAGTAAGATTAATCTGGCATGTTGGCTCTATAGTTATTACTGCATTGTTTTGAAAGTACTTGCAGAGTGAGTACAATCTGCTCCATAATTTTCTGTGGTATTGATGTCTGGCTGACTGGTCTGTAGTTTCCTGGTTCCTCTTTTTCTTTTTTTCTTTTCTTTTCTTTTCTTTTTGCTCTTTTAGAAGATTGAGGCAGCATCAGCTGTTCTCCAATCATCTGGCATTTCACCCATCTTCCATGATTTCAAGAAAATAATAAGACTATTGTTCTGTGATCTCTTCTCCCAGTTCCTTCAATATCTTTGGATGCAGTACACCCCGCTCTGAGGATTTGAACTCATTTAAAGTAGTAAGGTGTTGTTCTCTTCCTGATCCTTTTGTACTAGGATGGCCATTTCCAAAGAATGGTGCTGGTGGATTATTGTTGTCTTCCATCTCAGGGCTCTGCAGGTCTCAGCTTTTACTCCTGTGCTATTTAACATCCTCATTAAACATCTGAGGCAGATTATCTCGATATATGTGCTGCAATGTCATTAATGTGCAAAACCCCAACTTTAACTCTCTTTTTTATCTAGCCCAGGTGAGGCAGTGAAAGTCCGAATCAGTGCATGAATAGAATAATGGTTTTAATGAAAATGAAGAAACTGAAGCTTAGTTCGGACAAGACAAAGATACTATTAACAAGTGGTTTACCTGCCCACTTCAGTGATTTTATACCTGTTCTGGAGAGGATTACTTTTTCACTGAAGGAGCAGGTGCTCAATTTAGAGATGTTCCTGGATCCATTATTCTGACACAGGAGAGTTCAGTGCACAGGAGTCAGGAGCACAAGAATCTTGTACTACCTTAGGCAGAAATAGCAACCACATCTGTCTAAATAAAGATTGTTGACAACACTTATACACACACTGGTAGCCTGCAGTTACATGGGTTGTGTATTGACCTGCCATTGAAAATGGTTTGGAAAGTTCCATTAGTTCAAGAAGGACTGAGCCTCGTGGCACAGTGGTTAAACCGCTGTACTGCAGCCAAAACTGTGCTCACGACCTGGGGTTCAAATCCCAGGTAGCCGGGTCAAGGTTGACTCAGCTTTCTATCCTTCCGAGGTCAGTAAAATGAGTACCCAGCTTGGTGGGGGGGCAATGTGTAGCCTGCATAAGTAACTTGTAAACCACCCAGAGAGAGCTTGAAGTTCTATGGGGCGGTATATAAGCAGCACACGTTGCTTTGCTTTTTGCTTTAATGTACTTATTGGGATTGATTAATACGTTCATGTGATGGCAATGCTCTGTCAGCTGCAAAGGCTTCAGGTCAGTTTGAAATCAAATTTTTGATGTTATTTTACAGTTCTTTTAAAGATCTAATCACAGTTATTTTTTCACTGCCAGGCAAACACTCTGCTTTTCTTACATACATTTTGTATTATAGACTACAGATTTTACAGTTTAGTCTTGCTTGCACGGTGACAGAATCACTCCTTTTATATACTGTAATTTATATTGTGTTTCCTGCACTGATAGTTACATTTGTTTTTATTACATACTGTTTTTATTGTTTTACTCATTCATCATGTTATGCAACCAGACAACATTTTTTATTGACTGACTAAAAACATAACCAGTTTCTACATATCAGGCAAGCTTTCCCTTAGTGACTGGCTACCTGCATGGAATTTTCAGATGGATTACTATGCATTACTGCTTCGACTGTGTTTTTAGTATCACTTGTGTTTACATTTCTCAGAGTGGTATTTCTTCCTTTTTAATTTTTGCTTTTAGCTGTAAATATTGTCTTTCAGTTATGAAACTCACCTTTGAATACTCATTGTTTTTAGCTTTAAATATTGTCTTTCAATAACACAAGCTGCTTTGGGTCTTTATTAAGGAGAACGCTGGGGTGAAAATATCTTAAATAAATATATGAGACAACCCTTATCACATAAGAAAGTGGCTTTATAAATAAAGACATTTTAAATTTAAAACTTACTATTGATGTAACAATGAGCTTGCATTTACTTACCATGTGCCTAAAATTTAAAAATTGCATCAAAAGATTTTGTTAATCAGATGGAAGCCACAAAGATAAAATTGAATACTTACTGGGGCTTGCGTAGGCCAAATAACTTCATGTGTCTCAGGGATACCCTCCTGCCCCTGAATGCTGTCATGGCCACTGCCCTCACCTGAAGCCTAAAAAACCCAGGACAGAATTATGGGTTTAGCTGAAGCTCACATGAGAAATTTAATAGATATTGTGTTTGCATATCCAGCACATGAAAGATGACCAAACTGCATAAGTACACATACGTTCCCCAGACTGAATTCATGACTGATTACAAAACAGATACATTTAGCCAGGGGCAAGACTTCAAATTCCATCGGTCTTCAGACAATACCATTAGTGATGATACACAGGAGTTGTGGTTCAGCCTCTGGAAGCCCACAGACCCCCTATCCCTGCCATCACGGCGACCCCAAGTTATCCCGCAGCTTGAGGTAGAAAGATATGTCTGCCCTCCCAACTAGCTGCATGCCCCACAGGACAGGGGGCATGCCTCTGCTGCCTACAGGCAGTGGCAGAAGCAGCAAGACAGTAACCCTTTTTCCAATGTAGGCCAATAGGGGGATGGCAGAGGGGATGGAAACAGCACTCCCTCCTAGGACAAACATGGGAAGGGACACCAGGAGGAGGTCTAAGCAGACCTAGATGTGATAAGAAAGGAGCAGTGCTACAATATTGCCTACCATAACCAAGGAACAACAGGGTCAGGAGAAGCAGGGTTACTGTGAAGGGGGGAAAAAAGTGGTTGGCAGCAATCATAAATGTTCTTCTACTCCTGCTCCTGCTCTCTGTCAAGGGGCCACTCATTTATCCTTTTATCCAGGCCTTTTGGGACCCTTGCGGGGCAGCAGTGGTTTTGGAGAGCAATGCATTCATAGCCCCCAGCTTCCTGCCACCTGAAGTCACCACCTCACTAAGCCTCATAGCAGTACCAGCCCTGTCTGCCCTGCACTTGCGTTGCAGTCCACGGGGGTAGGGAGGTGGGGTGGGGGAGGGTACAGTTGACATTCATTTACTGAAGGACATGAGGACTGGACTTGGAAGGTTCTGCACATGAAGGATATGCTCTACCACTAGAGAAAGGTAAAACCTACCTGTTCTGACATCCCAGCTTCTACTAAGCGACACCCCTGAGGCTCCTCTAGAAGTCTATGCAACTACTTTGTATAAATAGAAACTGCACACCCCACAGAACCTGTATCATACTTCTCTCCATCCATCTACCAGGCTTCTCATCAACTACTTTCTTAATCATTAAAACAAACAATCATAGTTTGTAACCTCCATCTAGAGAACTGGGAACATTGAGAATTATTAGCAGTACTGTGGACGAAAGGGTTCCTACATTGTTATATTGACATCTACTTCTAAATCCTTATCATTATTACAAAAATGTGTATGTAGGAGTACTCACATATGGATCATCATCTTCACACTGATCCTCAATAGCCCTTGAGTCAGGTTTGATTGTCAGCTGCTGGATAGAGCCCTGTAAAGATTGAGAATAACAATGTAAGATGACATTTTTTAGTAAGAATCTCTCAGAGAACACATGAAAAGCCCTATAGAGTACAATTGCTGTTCTTGAAAAGGCTCTCAGTTACATAGACCATACTAAAGGTCTGTTGGAAGTAAGGAAAAGGATGAAGGATTGGTGTGCATTGCCTTGGGGGCCTTCCTGCTCATTGTAAAAAATAAGCAAATACTGTAGAGTTATTACACAATAAACACTCCCCTCCATTTTACAGCAAGAAAAAGTCAAGGCTGAAGTCATCTCCCAAACACTCAACACATAGCGAAGTGTTCTGTGGAAGAGCATTTGAGATCCAAACGTACACACCAGCAGCCTGAAGTATTGAGAAAGTTTGAATATGCCATTATGTTAACATTTCATTACATTCAATTTATAACATTTACATGAAACTATTATAACCTATTATAATAAAGGCTTTAGTGGTAAAGCCAAAAGTCCATTCAGTCCAACATCCATTTTCAAAAAAAAACATCTAGCCAAATGCCACTGGGAACCACACGCGCTGGACAGGAAAGAAACAAGGTTCTCTTTTGTTTGACTCATGCAGTTAGAGTTCAGAGGTCCATTGGCTGAAATCCTGCTCACATTTCCGCGTGTGCAACTGCCACTGTTTAAAGGCTTCCTTTGGTGATTTCAGGTGCATTAGACTTTGTCACGTTGTGTACAAGTCATGTCCACCCCAAAATCATCTTCAATTGGATGTAATCTGCCTTTAATCAGCTGTGATTCGCCGCTCCTGCTGCCGCCACCATTATCATTGCACACATGGAGCTGCGCAACAGGATTTCAGCCATTCTCTCTAAACGTGGAAGTTCTATTTGGATTTCATAGCCAACAGCTCTTGACAGAACACATTTCTTTGATCCTCTTGCAAAGACATTTAAACCAACAGCCATCTTGTGGCAACCAATATTTTCAACACAGGCCCTCACAGAAATCTCATGGCATGGCAGCAAAAAATTAAGGTTTCAAAATGTCACATATTCACTGATAACAAAGCTTGAAGTAACACATCGCAAAAAGTGATTACAGCTGTAACATGCAACAGCTGAAATCCTGTTACTGCAACTATACCCCCAAAAGGCTAATGACACCATCAGCAGGGGGTGATTTTTAGATGCTCCCATGTAATCTCTTTCATAGTTTAGAACTCACGGGAGTTGCAGGACAGGCATAGAAGGCATTAATTATAGAAAATTGCTGCTGTTAGTAATGTCATCCTGGTAGCAACAATTTTTTCCTAGTTAAAGAGTTCTTATGTGATTTCCACATGATGAAAAAGGAGCCATAGGAGCTGTTAGAAAGAAGTAAGAAGAGTTTAATTTCCAAAAATCTCCTCCACTGATAACGTTATTAGTTTGCCACAGCCATAGTTGCACAAAGGATTTCATCCTTTTTTTTTTGGAGGGCTTAATGACAATTTGTTTAAAAAGTAACATAACAACTATATCTGATGTTGCTGTAATCGTTGAACTAATTGAATTAGCATTATTGATTCATCAATTAGATCATTACTTTTCATAACAGTAGGGTTTATAGAGAATGGCATCTAACTTGTCACCATTCACCCTTAGCAGTGCATTTGTTATGAGTTTCTTCAGAAGTGCTCTTTTTGTCACTTTGGAATTATTTTCTGTCTAATGTTATTTTTAAAACTAACATTTTAAAGCATTAGATGACCGGATGCTTTTCACACATTTGAAGAAAACTAAGTCGTTTAATTTGAATACATTAATTTCAATGCATTGTTTCCAAGCTGTGTGAGCAAACTTTACTCAGGATTTCACAGTTTTGAAGAAGGGGGGGGGCATTTTCAAGTGATTTGGAAAGACTGGGTGTCTTTTTTGCAATATCAACCTTTGTTAAAGGGCTAAAAAAGCAAATAAAACACCTTAAGAGCATAACATATTACATGAAGGCTGATAAATAAAATCACAATAATGAAAAACAGTAAAAAATTATTTTCTAAAAATGAGGAGTAACTTTTAAAAAACAGCATTCTAAGCTCTGATGAATATATAATATATAGTACTGTACAAAGGCATCTAATTACATAGATGGCATTGGCAAGCGAAGGACAAAGGACCAAAATAGTGTAGGAAGTGAAGTTCTACATTTTTCAGGAAAGGAGAACTCTGTGCTCTATTGTAGATCCTTCAGTCTCGAAAGACTATGGAAACAGGAGCACAGTATTTCTTTGTTGAAAAAAATCCATATATTACGACAACCGTGCTGCTCAAATCCATGCAATCCAAGGGAGAAGTGTATTTCAATTTAAAAACAAACAAAAAGGGTACACTTCTCCCTTCAGCAACACTGGGGTTAGATGTGCTGGGCCCCCATGTAGTTCAAAATTCATATATAACAGTTATGTCCCCAAAAACATAACCACAAAGCATAAACAACTGATTCACAAACATACCGAACAAATGAATTTATTGTATTAACTCTGTAGCATGCCCCAGCAGCACTCTTCCCCAGCCACCACCTGGAGCCAGCATGCTAGGAGAGGGGGCCAGCCAAGTCACTGTCATTGAAGGTGGGGGTGTGCCTCAGCAACAACAATAGGAGTCTTGGTAATCTGAGACCCACTTTCCCCAGGCCAGGTCCTGAAGACAAGCAGCAGCACAGTATTTGTTTGTTTGTTGAAAAAAAATCCATGTATTACCATAACCATGCTGCTCAAATCCATGCAATTCAAGGGAGAAGTGTATTTCAATTTTTAAAAAAGAAAAAGAATTTATCAACAGAATGGTATTTCCCACATAACAAATAATAATAATAGCAAGATGCTGTCAAGTTAATTCCAATATAATGACTCTTTCCAGGGTTTGCTAGGTATAGGATACACAGAAGCCATTTACCATTTCTTTTTTCTGGTGGACCCTGGGGCTGTGTAGCATCTCCAGGGCTATATAGGTTAGTTCTACTCTTGAGAGGCACAGTGGGTAATTGAACTCCCAACCTCTAGCTCTACAGTTAGGTATCAAACTCACTGAGAAATCCAGTCCACATAGTTACTGATCATAAATTCTGATTTCCTTAGAGAAGCAGCCCACTTTCTAATTACACAGTACATTTCATTAGGAGTTGTCCAGCCACTATATCTTGGAAAGAGGGGGACTATCAGTTCTACACACCTGTTTGGTGACTATCTTTTGTGTTCTTCTGAAATGCAAACAAAGTTTGAAAGAGTATTTTTGTGCTTGTGGTTGTGAGGTTTATTCTTCTTCTTTCCTGCAATTCTCACCTTTCCTTACTTCTTCCCAAACCCAGATCAAGGACCTGATCTAGTCCCAAATACTGGCAGTAATCAAGACTACTATTAATCAGATAATGGATGTATGACTGGGAATAATTGAATCAGAGCTCCCTACTCCATTAACTGGTAAAAGATTTTGCTTGAAAGCATTGTAAGAGTGTGGGCTTCTGAACATGGCTGGATCTTACACAAGCTAAGCTGCAAAACAACCTACAACTCTGCTGGACACATACTTACAGTAAACTTTTCAAGTCCTGTTGCTCCAGCATTCCCAACAAATATGCCTGAGCTGGATTCAAAGAGCAAGGTCTCTGCTGTTCTCTGAAACTGGACTCGGTTATATTCCTCACAGTCCATGAACAAGATGACCTCACTGTCCTGCACAGCCAGCGTAAAGCGATTCCACTTGTTGGTCATCACTGGGACCTTAAATGAAGCAGCCTCTCGAGATAGCTGAGAACCAGGTTCAGTGTAGTACATAATGATTCTCTGGGTGCTGTCATCCACAGGTGATAGTCGGACTCCCAGGTAGATGGTCTTCTGAAAAGCATCCGTTATGGCAAACAATACACCTCCATGGTCACTGTTTGGTTTGACTGTAATGGTGATTGCAAAATCTCTGTAGAATGGCTGGGGTATAAGAGTCCTTGTCAGGCGGCCTATATTAGCATCTGGTCCAAAGCTGTAGGCTGGAAATCCTCCATAGCCAGTGATAAAGGAGACAAAAGGAGGAAGTGGGACTCCTATTAGTTCTGTGAGGTCAAGATTCCCCTTTGATCCTCTTTCTGTAACACAAGAGAAACACCACAAATTATTTATTTTAAAATGTTTTGGTATTTCACATTTCTAAAGAAAGCTCTAAGGTACAGCCAAATGCTCCACCATCTGGTGGGGCCAGGAAAGTTTGTGATCATAAGCCCTTCCCAAAGATGTTTCAGGATGGAAACAAACACATTATTAGAAGGAGAAAACATGTTATTTTGGAGTTTTATTTACAACCTTGCATGCTGTCTGAGTGATTTTTCTGGGCTGGAGTGATGGTCTTTTTATCCAACACTAACCAATCCTTCCTTTTGAAATTCAGAAAGAAGCTCGCCTCTCTGTTGAGAATTCTATCCCTTTCTACAGTCAGTTGGACAGAGTTGTTTTTCGTTGTTGATCTGTTCAGTTGGTTGCGACTAGGTATGCAGTAAAGAAAGCAATATACACAAGTTTGTAATTTCAAGCAACTGGAAGTAAAGAAATTTTTTAAATGATTTCTCATACAAATGTCTCAGAGTGAGTTAATGAGTGCCAGTTAATGAGAAGAGGGTGGACTCTTGGGAATCTGAAGCTATTCTCCTCTGTAGATCTCTGTACTAAGTCGCAAAAAAGGGAGAGAGAAATTTACCAGAAATTGAAAACTCTGCAACATGTTAAAGGCTTTCTTTGCCTCCTGATGACTTATCGCAAAACAAAGCACGCTAAATTGCAAGCTAGGGGAGACCAGAAGACCCTGATAGATGTCAATCACACCATTTTAACACATGGCAATTTGCTACTTTCTAACAGTAGCATCCTATCTGAATTTTTCTCACCCTTCCCTACTTCCTATTACTCCCAACTAAGTAGCCTGTCCCCTTTGTTACCAAAGATGTACAGAAAATCCTGCAGGCAATATTGTACTCAATTGCTCAGAAAGAACACGAAGCTTGCTCTCACCATCCAGTTTTAGTCTGGACAATGGGAGATAAGGCACTCACAACCAACAAGTAACAAACACTTGTAAAAACATTTTTTACCACCAATTGCTATTTTTTAAACCAAGTTTTTAAGTATTAGGCTACATGTACTGAATTGCTGGATCTTCTATACTGCTTTGCACTCATCCTAGAGAGCTAAGTTCATGAAGAGCTGTTTCTCCTCATGCAAAATCACAGGATATGTTGCTCTACAGCAGCAGATAACCAAAAGGTTGACGGTAATTTCAAGGGGAGTGAGAGTGCTGGAGGATGGATTTCAGGGAAAAGCCAATAAGCGGGGATGCAGTTAAATTCCTTTCTTCTCTCTCATTTCTGCAGTGCAAAATAACTCCCATTCCTCACTGCTTTTCAATGAAAAAGTGAAAGTTCACCTTCTAAATACCCAACATGTGGTTCTGATTTTCCTATCGCTACCTGTACACCAAACATTCAAAATGCCTAATACTGTACTGAGTGCTCCAGTATAACCACTTATTCAGAAACAATAAGCTGGCTGGATATCTCAGTGGTTTAACTATCTGGCTGCGGAGCCAGAGGCTAGGTGTTCATGCATGTTGACTGTGTCTCTTGTGAATTAGGCAGCCTTAGTAGCCTTGGGCAAGCTGCACAGGCTCAGGATGCCCCCAGAAGAAGGGAATGGTAAACCATTTCTGAGTATTCTCTATCTGGAAAGCCCAGGAAAAGGGTTACTATAAGTTGGATCCAACTTAATGACACACAGTTAGTAACTGGCTTTGTTATGCCTTTTTTTAAAAATGGGAGTGTGGTGGCGCTGTGGGCTAAACCGCAGAAGCCTGTGCTGCAGGGTTAGAAGACCAGCAGTCGTGAGATTGAATCCACGTGACGGAGTGAGCGCCCGTCGCTTGTCCCAGCTCCCGCCAACCTAGCGGTTCGAAAGCATGCAAATGCAAGTAGATAAATAGGGACCACCTCGGTGGGAAGGTAACAGCGTTCCGTGTCTAAGTCGCACTGGCCATGTGACTACGGAAGATTGTCTTCAGACAAAACGCTGGTTCTATGGCTTGGAAACGGGGATGAGCACCGCCCCCCCTAGAGTCGAATACGACGGGACAAAAATTGTCAAGGGGAACCTTTACCTTTACCTTTTGTTATGCCTTTAGCATCTGTTAGGCTAATAGGATGAACCTCCATAAATTAAGTGTCAGTTGACTTCTAAGGAAGATATTTAAAGGTACAGGAAGCTGTGTTATGTTGAACCAAGACATCGGTCCACTTAGCACTGTCAGCTCTGGCCAGCACCACCTCTCCAGGCACAATTTTCTCCTAATCCTACCCAGAGATTCTTGGTATTCCCTAGGGGCCTCTTTTCAAATAGTAGCCAGGCTTGAACCTGCTTAGCTTCCAAAATAAGATGATTTCTCTCTCTCTTTTTCTCTCTTCTCTCTCTCTCTTTTTAAAAGATGAAACTGGTTTTGATCAGGTCAGTGGTAATGTCTGACATGGAGCAGCAGAATGGAGATACCAGAATTTGACACTTTTGTTTCAGGACTATTTCTCAGAGGTTTGAGGGTTTCTGTACTTGGTTTACTTCTATGGCTAAATCTTTGAGTCCCAACTAAATTAAATTCCTTGAATGTTAAATCCCTACCATTAGACTTAGCCCATATGGCTAAATGTGGTGCCTTGCTAGACGATGATAATCTGTTCCACTGAAATCGCTGTTTAGCGAAATCATTGTCTAGCAAAAAGCATTTCCCTATTGGAAGGCATTGAAACCTGTTTAATGCATTCCAATGGGGAAGAATCGTTGTTGTCTAGCAAAGATCGGCATAGGAAAGCTGCTTTGCGAACAGCTGATCAGCTGTTTAAATAACTGTCTTGCGAAGCTTAGGCCCCGAAAACACCCGTTTTGCAAGCACGGAGGGAGCTGTCAAAATTGTTGTCTAGCCAAAATTGGTTTGCGAAGCAGGGACCAAACATTGTCCAGCGAAATTCCCCCATAGGAACCACTGTTTTGCGAATCGCTATAGCGATCGCAAAAAGTCAATGTCTAGTGAAAAAACTGTCATGCAGGGTAACTGTCTAGCGAGGCACCACTGTAAAGGAAATACGGGAAATGTGTGTATACATGTGCATATACAAACATACACAGACACTTTCTGTCCTATGTTTCAGCCAAAAAACACAGCCTTGGCTGGGGGAAATGTATTTTTGAACTACAGCTCCCAGGGATTCTTCAGCCCTCACATTCTGTGCTGTTCATCTGCAAGGAAGATGGGGACTAATCCCATAGATAAATGTACAGATGCAGCTAACATCTACTTTCACAAATGACTCCAATTCAACGTTAACTTAATATATATATATATTAGCAAAGAGAAGGCTGATCGCATGTACACATAAAAATAAAAACACCACATCGGTTTAATAGTTGTGCCAAGACTTAGTATTTTCTAAACTTTTTAAGATCATTCTCTTGCAGTTTTATTCAATTTTTCACCAAGTACAGCATATCTGTTCCCTGAAGTTCATTTTTCCTGCATTAATAAAGCCTCTTAAAAATAAGCTAAGACACACTTCACACCCTAGCTGAGTTTTCTCCCCCTGCCTCCACTCCATAAGATTCTAATTTCTTTCCCTTTCTTCCATTTATACAGCAGCTGCTGCATAATGGGGCCTGCAGGCACTATAACAGAGAAATTGTTCTGCAGTGTTTACATATAGATCAAGACAGGGTTCCCCAACAGTAAAATCAGAAAACAACTGCTACATAGCACAGTTCTAAGCATGTATACTCTGAGGTAAGACTGACTACGTTTAATTAGGCTTCCTCCCAGGAAAGAAGCCATCAGCCTGCAATTTGAAAACTGCATTATTTTGCACACCTATCTAAACAGAACTTCATAGGCTTACACCCTAGCTGCAATGTGAACCTTCTGGAAATCAGACAGGTAACATCAGTGCTGTATGTAACAATTCCTTTCCAAATAACAATTTGCAGGGTTGAGGTACATCGGTCATTTGTGTGTAGAAGTAATTATATGAATGATTCATCTTTATTTTTATCCCCCCCGTTTTGTATATTGGTGCTTCTAGATATTTGATGAAAGACATTCTTCACCATGACACCACATCATAGAACTACAGTGGTACCTCAACTTAAGAACTTAATCCGTATTGGGACTGCATTCTTAAGTCGAAACGTTCTTAAGTCGAAGCACCATTTCCCATAGGAATGCATTGAAAACCATTTAATCCTTATCAGCTGTTTTTCGTTCTTAAGTCGAGGCGCTGTCAAAGCAACTTTTCGTGAATGGAGCCGTTCTTAACTTGAATCGTTCTTATGTAGGGACGTTCTCAAGTCGAGGTTCCACTGTACTGGATAGTTCAGTGGTTTAAAAGCTGAAAGTTCAATTCCCCATTGTCGCTCCTCAACAGGGGCTGGACTTGATGATCCACTGGATCCCTTCCAGCTCTGCAGTTCTAAGATTATTATGATGGTTTCACTTAATTTTAAATGAGCTTGCATCAGTTGCAAAACAGGCAAAGTGCAGCTACAACATTAGAAATTTTTTTTTTAATTTTAAAAGAAGTATAACAGGTTTGAAGGACTGTGACCAGGTGACCTACATGCCTTCTGAGTCTGCTATACAGATCCCTAATCTCCCTCCTTATAGTTCTTGACCTTTAAAACAGACTTCAGTTGGGCATCCTTTCAAAAACCAATCCAGGATTTAAGACTAGCCATGGAGGCTCTGCTTGTGCTGCCCTTCAAAAGCATGACCCAAGGACTACCATGTGCCAAGGCCACCTCTGTGACAGCTTCATCTGTTCCCTGGATTTCCAGATATTCAGCTGTTTCCAAGGGTGACATCATTGCATTCTCAGTTAAAAACATACAGTATTATTATTATTATTATTATTGTTGTTGTTGTTGTTGTTGATGATGATGATGATGATGATGATGATGATGATGATGATGATGATGATGATGATGATGATGATGATGATGATGATGATGATGATGATGATGATGATGATGATGATGATGATGATGATGATGATGATGATGATGATGATGA